CCCACAAAGTAATTTACAGAAACAAACAGTCCAAAAACCCCCACAGAATCCAAAAGCTAGTTTCATGCCCAGCAACAGGTTTAAAGACATTTGAATATTATATTAGACTGCAAATCAACCAGAGGAAGATTTGTTGTTTAAAAAAAATTTTTTTGTTTGTTTTAAAACTCTCAATGATTTCTGTATCATTTCCCTCTTAGATTACCAGAGGTCTTATATTTGGATTTTAAGTTACTAAAACTATTATAAATTTCATTTTTATTACATCATAACCCCAGGACATGTTTTATTGATTTTTAGAGAGAAAGGAAGGGGCGGGGGGGGACAGGAGAGAGACAGAGAGAGGGAGACAGAGAGAGACAGAGAGAAAGAGAGCAACACATCAATGAGAGAAACATAGATCAGCTGCCTCCTATACATACCCTGACCAGGTATCAAACACACAACCCAGGTATGTGCCCTGACAGGGAATCAGACCCACCACCTTTTGGTGTATAGGACAACACTCCAATCAACTGACCCACTGGGCTAGGGCTATAAAATTTATTTTTAAAACAATCAATGTAAAATACAATATGCAAAAAAATACAATGAAATATAATTGTTTGGAAGGATCTTTTTTTTAAAAAAGCCTTCCTTATTAAAAGAAGATAAACAATTCAATCCCCTCTAATTTCTACAGGAACTGCTTATAATTGGGGGGAATATAGGAGGTTTACCATAAATTTTGTGAGATTACTTTTAAATTTTTACTTTTAAAAAGATTCACTTTTTCAATTTTGTGTAAGATTTATAAGATCACGTACAAGATTACAAAGCTAAATCTGGAATAGCTCCAAATGTGCCTGACATATGCAGACCCAAATGGTGTAAAGCAAGATTTAAAAACCAATAGCTGTCCATTTCCATGCTCTTTCATTACTCACAGCTAAAATGTGAACCAATTTTCTTTTTTTCCCATCAGCATTTATCCCCTCTAATGCCCTTTTCCACCTCCACCTACCCTCTCCGCACCCCTCCATCCCCCACTATCACAACAATGTTGACTATGTCCATGAGTTCTCTCTCTTTTTTCTTTTTTTGCTCAATCCCTCCACCACCCCACCACCCCAACAGAGCTGTCTGCCTGCTCTCTATTAGTCTGTCTCTACTTTGCTTGGTAGTTCAGTTTGTTCATTTAATTCCACATATGAGTAAAATCATATGGTATTTTCTTTCTCTAACTGGTTTATTTCACTTAGTCACAGGACTAGAACAAATGTTTAAAAAATTTCTATGGAACCACAAAAGACACTGAATAGCAACAGTGATCTTGAGAAAGAACAAAGTTGGAGAAATCATGCTACCTTATATCAAACTAAACTACAAGGGCATAGTAATCTAAACAGCATGGTACTAGCATAAAAAGAGACATATAGGGCCTTAGCAATTTGGCTCAGTGGATAGAGCATCAGTCTGTGGACTGAAAGGTCCTGCGTTTGATTCCAGTCAAGGGTATAGATCTCCGGACCCTGGGCACATGCAAGAGGCAACCAATTGATGCATCTCTCTCATCAATGTTTCTCTCTCTCTGTCTCTCCCCCTCCCTTTCACTCTATCTAAAAATCAATGGGAAAATATCCTTGGGTGAAGATTAACCGAGAGAGAGAGAGAGAGAGAGAGAGAGAGAGAGAGAGAGAGAGATATCCCAGAAATAAGCCCATGCCATTACAGTTAACTAAAGGCCCGGTGCACAAAATTCATTCACAGGTAGGGACCCTAGGCCTGGCCGACTATTAGGGCCGATCAGGGCCTTCTGGCTGCTGGCCGGGGCCTTCCTACCCCGGTTGCCTTCTGCCAGCCAGGGCCTTCCTTCCCTGGCTGCTGGCGGGGGCCTTCCTTCACTCCACACCACCCCCCTGGTGATAAGTGCATGTCATAGCGAGTGAAAGAACTCCCAGTCTCCGGTTGAACTCCCAAGGAGACATTTTGTATATTAGCTCTATATATATATATATATATATATATATATATATATATATATATATATGTATATGTATATGTATGTATATGTATGTATATGTATATGTATATGTATATGTATATATGTATATATATACATATATATGATTAATATTTGACAAAGGAGGCAAAAACACACAATGGACTAAAGATAGTCTATTCAATAAATGGTGTTGAAAAAATTGGACAGATATGTGCAAGAAAAATGAAATTAGACCACCTTTTTACACCATACGCAAGAATAAACTCAAAATGGATTAAAGACTTGAATGTTAGACTCAAAACAATAAAAATCCTAGAAAAAAAAACATAGGCAGTAAAATTTTGGACATTTCTCATAGGAATATTTTTCTGAACCAATTTTCTTATACTAAAAGCTTACTCGTGTGCTTTTAAAAGTACAGGATATCAATACGTAAAGTTAATTATAAACACACTAGAGACCCGGTGCACAAAATTCGTGCACGGGTGCGGGGGGGGGGGGGGGGGGGGGAGGCCCCCTTAGCCAAGCTTGGCCCTCTTTCAATTTGGGACCCCCGGGGGGAGGCTGAATTCCCAGTTAAGGGGGAATGGGGCCAAAATTGGAAACGGGAAACCCCCTTCAAAACCAGGGGCGGGGGGGCCCAAAAGGCCTCTTGGCTTTCTGGCTGAAAACCCCCCGGAGGGTTGAAAAACCCAAATGCCCCCC